AAAAGCAGAGACTAGAAATGATACAGCTACAGAGTACATATTGAAGGCCCTAATTATCAGGGAAGGAGCATGGAGGTGGGGAGAAGAGCCCAAACTCATTGACTATAGTATCTGTTCCTGGGGGTTTTGTCCAGTTTCGTTTAGGTGTTATTTATTTGGTTGGTTTTCCTTTATTTAAAAAATATTTAAAGCTCTCTGACAACAAAATATTTACACCTATGATGAGTCTTTTGCATTTCTCAAAAAAACCAAGGTGTGTCTGTCCAAGCTGAGAGTATTTGGAAATGCATATTTTGTCTGACATTATTTGTAAATTTGATTTTTCCTCCTCAGAATAAGTATAGAAATGCTTATGTATGCTTGGTCTCATCATTTTGCTAAGAAAGAAAAAGGAGCCAGGCATGGTGGTGCACTGGCACTCGGGAGGCAGAAACAGGAGGATCATGAGTTTGAGGCCAGCCTGGGCTGCATAGTGAGTTTGATGCCACCCTGAACTACACAGCAAGAACCTGTCAAAAGAAAAAGAAGGAAGAAGAGGAAAACAGAAAAACAGAATTTATAGCAATGGTCACGTGAACACATATTAAATAATGGTGTGTACTCAAAGTTAGGTAAATCAACTTTGCTACTGCTTCAATATAGTACTAAAGTTACAATGGATAATAATATGATTTTTTAAAAAATATTAAATATTTTTGTGATTAAAATAGCTTTAAAACTGTAATGACACCAAGCTATATTTTAAGACCTTGATTCTTATACAAAATAAGATATCAGGTGAAGATCTGATATGCTTTCTTTTCCAAGAGACAACAAATCACACAGTGCCACTTAAAACAAAACCTTCAGTTTTCCATATACTAAGTTTCTTTTCATGCAATAAGTTCTTAAATATAATTTTTAAAAAATCAATTCTGTTCTGCAGATTTCCTTACTAATTCCTAAGCTAGGACTGTTTTAGTCATTATAGCTTTATGGTGTATTTTAATATATGATAGAAGAAATAAATGCTCCTTTATTTCAGTTTTCCTGAATTTTCTTGGCTTCTTCTGGATAAAGATTAGAATAATTTTGTAAAGTTTCAAAAATATCTGTGAGGATTTTTTTCATTATAATTTCATTAAACCCATAAATTAGTTTAGCGAGAATAATTGATTTTTCCTCTCCAGGATCATGGTAGGGTTTTTTAAATTTTTACAGATTTTATTTTAAAATACTTCTCTGTAAAGTATCTAATATCATATTTATGGGTTGAGCTTATTTCATGTTTTATTATAGATTTTATGAGTTTTCTTTGAGAGACATTGGGTACGGGTGTAGAGCGATATCGTTTACATTAGGTTTCACTAACTATAATTTTCCCATTTTGGCAATGTTGCTTTTAATCATGGAAGGCTACTTAAGGACTTAGTGAACATCTATAGTAGAGCAAACTGCCCAATGCATGAGGTCTCTAGATTACACTACCATGAAGTGCTAGTTTCCAGTTTCCAATAGGCCAAAAGCAGAGCATTAATGATTTTTTCATCCTAATTTTCTTGTGAATATGCAGCTGTTATCATCAATGACTATTTACTTCTGGTTGTTTGAGGCATATTCAGGTGGATTAGACTATACCCACCAACATCAATGTTCCTCGGTACCACTGCTGCTGTTAAAATGTTGACAGTCCTCTCTTTCTCTAGCATACCAACAGGGCTTCTCAACTGTGTCTTTTTGTTGTTGTTGTTCCATACCCACATTTCAAAGCCTCAAGTCTCCTGCCAGATTATCTACACTAGTACCTTTTCTCTTTACTCTAGGCAGAGTAATCTTCCTAAAACTTTAATCTTGATGCTCTTTTGGTTATGTTTAAACACAGGATAAATCCAACAAACACACATGAAGGAGAAGCTAGCAACATTTCATTGTATTTGGTTGGCTCTTAGTCATACAAAGGTAAACAGGGCCTGAACTAGCATCTTGTTGCTAGGGGATAAAGGCCAGATTTGTTAGCATTGCAAGCCAGCTCCTGGAGATCTGGGTGGCCTGACCTCCTGCCAATTCCCTTATCTGTTCCCTGACATCCAGCCATACTGGACCCTGAGAATGCAGCTCACCCTTGAGTCTTCCTTGGTTTGCTTGTACTGTTCTTTGGGCCGCTCGTCATAGCAAAAAATCATGTACTCCACTTGAGGTAAGATTCAATGTTATGTATGACATGAAACTTTTCTCAGTCTCTATCCCTTTTACTAACATAGAAGATAGTATGCCAGTAGAATAGCACACAAGAACTTTGGTAGTTAATTGCCTTCATTCTGTCTCCTGGGTTTCATTGTGGTTTTCGTACACCAGGAACCCTGAGTCAGGCACCTTTTGATACCTGCATTCAGCACATTGTCTTATGAATAAGCTTTGAAGAGTTCAACTTTGTGAGAGGAAGGCAACTAGAAAGAAGGTGCTCAGGCCATTTATCTTTTTCTGGTAAATATGGTAGTGTCTTCTCAAGACAAAAATTGAATTTATTTTCATTCTAGGGTTGCACTGTACTTCTTAGCCTTAGTGAAAACAACTTGGAGGTAGCCTAGGATGCTAGCAAGTGGGGAGGATTTGGAATCCAATCTTGGGTTTCATCCACACTGGCTCTGTGAATATGAGCAAGTCACACAACCTTCATGAGACTCAGCCTCCTCCATTGCAAAATAGGAATATCTACCTAATGGTGCAGTTTTGAGAATTATGTAAATATATTTATGTAGATTTAAATATATAGATATGAAGCCAAAACATGTAATAATGAGAAATCTCTATACATGTCAGTGTTACTTTCATTATGGTTTTTATATGAATATAAAGATAGTTTTACATAAAACATTCCTATTTTAGTGATTTTAGAAATTATTTTGGAGGAGCAAATACCATGTAAATATATATATATATATATATATATATGCATACATGTATATAAATTTTTATTTTCCTTTTAAAAATTGTAGCTATGATTGTTTGATTTTTCTAAACTTTACAATATCCTGGGGAGAAGGTGCAGAATTTCATCTCCTTCTGTTTATTTGTAGACCATCCTACTTCTAAGAGCATCACCAAGTCTTCGCTGTTCAGTGTGTACATGAGGCTGGGATAGTACCTTCAATAGGAACCTGTTTTCCTTCTCTCTGTATTTTTCTGTTTTCCCTCTCTGTATTCCAACAAGTACTGGTTGTGTGCTTTTTGACTCAGGGTAGCACATGGCAGGATGGAAAAGCCAAAAGTGCACAAACATTTCTGACTTTTTAATTCCAAAATGGAAATCCTAGGCAAAGGGAAAGAAACAGTGAGAAGAGTAAAGTTATTCTGCCAAACCCAAAAGAGATTTTTCTGGCTAGGGAAAGGAGGGGAGATGAAATGAAAAGCAGTATACTGTTTCCTAAGGAGTGCTGCTAGGAGGGGTGGCATGACCCAGAGAGACTGTCTGTGTAGGGTATCTGGAGATGCTACTCTCTAGCCAGTAAGGGAACTGGTAATCTGTACAATGGAATCAGTAACATCCCCGTCACCAAGAAAGCAAAGTTAAGAAATGAGATATATATATATATATATATATATATATATATATATATATATAAAATGTCTATCTAGGTAGACGTTATAATTCCACCAACCCACACTGGCATTTTGGTTCTGCCCATCAGAACAATTACATGCTCCTTTTTCCACTTTCTTCCTCCTAGACAGCTGGGTTGTGGCGGGGTGGGGGAGAAGCAAAACCAAGCAGACAAGTGTCCAGCCGGGGCCATTGTGGTGATGGCTGCACCTTTCTTCCTCTCCCTTCTCCTCTTGTTCTGCATGACCTGTCCCTTCCTAGCCCCCTCCTCTTCTTCTTCTTTTATAAACTTCAGTTTGTTGCTAACCAAAAGTCCTGGTATCCAAGCCTTATGTATTGTCTGGTCTATTCTACAGAAAAACTCAGTCCTTTTCCACCATCACAGCAAAGAGAGTCTGTTTGGGAGGCTTACAGCAACCCCTTTGCCCATTCATCTTTCTAGCACAGCTATGCTAGGATATAGCAGAGATAGAGCCTTCCAGGAAAAAAAAAAAAAAAAAACCCTCCATTTCCCTCTCTGGTGGAAGAGGTCTTTATTATAAAGTACAATTAAAAATTATTTCCCTTTAAAGAAAAGATCTTCCTCCAGAGTCTCAGGACTGAAAAAGAATATCTTAAAGAATTGAGATGTTTCTTTTGATTTCTTGTACTGGGTGATAACTTTCTCAAAGAGTAATCATAGTCATGCCAACACATGGTCTCAAACGTGGATGGGAAGGAGGTTGGCAGATAATTGGTTATTCATAGATAGGAGATTTACGATACCCTGGCATCTGTGAGTCCCAGATGCATCCTCCTGGCCCTTTGGTTCTCCTGGGACCCCAGGAACACAGGACAGTGGGAATTGCTAACAAGGCTTGTCTGTGTGCATAGCTTCCCAGAACCAGGACTGGTTTCCTTTTGAGCTGAGTATCCCTGTCAGAAAACACTTGGTGCGCTACTCAGTTGCTCCAGAAGTGGATACATTTCTCTTTGTGGTGCTCAGACAGGTATAGCATCCCTTCACTGAAGCAAATTTGATAGTACCTTATAAGTTGTATAAGTAAATTGGGATTTCCCATGCTTTCTTCCAGGAGAGAGGGCTGAAGTTTCTCAAAGGCATCTCTTGTGGTATCCTCCTTGGGAAATGTTATTGTTTATTTCTTAGCAAAGAACAGAGTCCTTGGAGAATAGGAAATGGTACGGGTAAGTTTAGATTACAGGAAGATCAATGTGAGAAACACAGGCTTGGGCTTAGAAAGACAGAGGTAGGTAGAATGCTGTATCGGGGTCTTGATTTCCATGATTGTGGCTGTGGATCCTCTAAAAGAGCATAGCTGCTCAGGGATGGACTATATTTATGTCTCTACTTGTCTTATTTTAACAAGGGGATGTGGTTTACTTTAAGTTGCACTACCTTAATCTTTTCTATTCCTCACAGATTCATGAAGGTGGCAGGGAGCACGGTGGATGCAGTTACCTGGCAACAGTAGGTATTCATCACTTTTGCTCTTACTTATTGTCAGCTGCTATGAAATGAAAGATAATTAGTTGTCACCAAGTTCATAGCTGATATTTAATAAGCTGTACTTTAACTTTCAAGTAAAGAATTGAAAATTTATTCCAAAGCTGTTTTTATGGCCTATGCTGTCTCAGAGTACCATAATTTTGTTGTTACTTTCAAAACAACAACAACAAAAAATCCTCACAAACATAAAAAATTGACACATTTTGGAGATTTCAGGTATTATGTACATTTTTAAATTAATCTGTCATGAGTGAAAAGTAATGGAGAGCTAAGCATACCACCATTTCCCAGAGGCTTTTCCTTTGGGAATAAATTTCCTTGTTCAAGAGAGGAACTAGTTTTAATTGCTCAGTATATCTTGTGAAAATAGAAACACTTCATTATATTAACAGCTGTGGTGTTAATTAGTGCCAAACGATTCACTAATATGAAACAGGTTAAAAAAAAAAAAAGAAGAAGAAGCTCAAGAGAGGTGAGAAACCTCAGCACTCCAGGAAGAAGCTCACAGTGACAAAGATCTGTTACCCAAAGGGTAGCTTGACTTGTAAGGGTAACTATCTAATATGTAAACTTCAGTATTCTTTAAGACTCTTCATGGTGTTTTTGCCCTGATGTCCAGCATTGTGTCACAATGTCTTACTGATTTTATACTGGAATCCTGCCTTTCTTCTCTATAAGAGTTCCATCCACAGCATCTGTCATCTCTCACCCAATGTGGTGCTCACAACTCAAGCATCTGTGCTTCCTCTCTAGCTATGACTACACCGGCCTTGACCATGGCCGTCTTTCTCAGCTACCCTGACCTTGCCGGTACTCTCCTATCTGATCTCTTTTTTTAAATGGATCACGCTATCCATTGTGGATCTGTGACAGATGTGAAAGAAAGGGGAGTAGATGAAATCTTTATTAAATATCCCAAAAGGACTTTTGGTTTGTTGGCAATCAATAACTTTAATCATCATGGGAGAATCCTTATTCATTCTGTCCCAACACACTGGTGGCTTTTTGGCTCTTTGAAGGCTCAGCTGTGTTTCTGCCTCAGTAACTCTGTACATGCTATTCCTTCAGCCTGAAATGCTGTTCTCCCCATTACGTGTGTGTCTGGCTTCTTGTCATCTTTTAAGTCTCACATTACATGTTATCCTCTCAGTGATACCTTCTCTGATGATCCTAATCTAAAATAGATCCCATTTTACTCTTTCTCCTAGCTCTTTTGGGTGATTTGGGCTTTGTTTTGTTGGGTTTTTTGGTCATACCACTTAAAATAACCTACAATTACTTTTTAACAACTTGTTTTTGCAATTTGTTACTTTGTCTCCAAAGTAGCACTTATTCCATTCACCAAGTACTTTTTTAAGCAATTGTGTATTAGTCAATTCCTATCGAGGAAAAACAATGAGAATAATAATAATGACCTCCAGGAACTATTCTCAAACTGAATATGCCTTGCTGTATCTGATCCTCACAACAATCAAGCAAGGCAAAGACTATTCTTATATTTATTTTCCTACACTGTGGAGGAAGTTGTAGAAAATCCAAAGATAACAAGGAAAGTGTCAGATGTACTTGAAATTGGGTATCTCTCACTCCAGGGACTTTTGCCTTAACTTTTACTGTGTTGGCCAGACAATGTCCCTTTACTGAAATCCTATCAGCACCCTCACCAAAGACTATCTGAATAATGTGATATAGAGGCTGAAGCTTGAAGAATTTATAGGATTTGTAGAGAGAGGTAATGAGACCAAAGTAAGAAAATTACTGGCCAAGAATATGGCTTCAATTCCCAGAGCTGACAGTGAAAGATCGGCGAAGCTTTCTTCTCTCTTCAGGCACTCGTCCTGGCACAGATGGAATGAAGTAAGCATAGTAGTGTTTACAATGGAGAAATACATTTTCAGTAAATACATTTTATTTATTGGCTACTAAAAACACTGGTCATGTCTCTAGATAAATATCACATATTTGCAACTATGCCAAAAAATACCTCCCAAAGCAGGAAAGGGTTGTGTTTCAGGATTAGCACTCATTTGGGGACAAGTAGCACCTGGGACCTACCATTTATCTTGCCCAACCATATTTTCCAGTCAAGAGTTGGATGGTCATGGAAAAAAACCAGGAAATCCTAGCTAGGAGGACTCAGTAGAAATTAGAGTCCAATGCCATGTTTCTCTAATATGGAGAAGGTGAAGATTTCTTAATAATGTAATATAAAGGAAATTGGATTAGGTTATTTTGATTTGGAAGCTCATGCTCTTAGATTTGCTATATTTTGAGGGCCAACATATATGATTTAATCATTGATCCTGTCCATCAACCCATGTAGAAAACCCAGCAAGAATTAGTAAGATAAAATTCTAATTACAAGTATAGTGGGAGGTAGCTTGCATCAGAATGACCCTCTATAGAGACCAATGATAAAATCTGGGGACATATTTAAAAAAAAAAAAAACCATAAAACTCTGGAGGAAGATATTCAATCCTTTAACAAAGTGAATGAAAACGGATGAGAACTACTTTTATATGATTACTTAACAATCTGTGCTTCATGAGGTACCTAGAACTCAAACAGAAATACGTGATTGTATTGGCTTTGGGTCTAAGAAGGAATCAAGCTAAAATTTCCATATGGAAACCTCAGAAAGAAGAAACTATGAGAGAAAAATACCAAATATGCATATAAACTTCCCTCAAATCTGTGGTTCCTGAAATACAAACAGGAGACTCCAGGGGCCTGGTGGAAAGCAACAGCTGGGAGCCTGAGAAAGTTGAATAGAGATTTGAGCTGCTATCTGTCGCATGAGAAAGGTTGGAATTTGAATCTTTGTAGAGGGACTTGAAAAACACCTTGTTCTTTTCAATGGAACCTCAAAGAGATCTATGTCCCAGGACTAAGGATTTTCCCTAGGACTAAAGCATAACCCAAACAGATTTACCTAAGTGTGAACTGACACCCCAACGTGGACAGGATGGCCTGCCATCCCATCAACCTCCAGCCAGATCCAGAACCAACACTTCTGTTTCTACATTGTATCATCCACACTTTAAAGTACACAATGAAAACATGAATAGACATGTAAAGAAAGAGGAAACTGTGACCCATGTCCAAGAAAATAAGCAATAAGATGACCCAGACATGAGAATTAACTGACAAAGATTTCAAGAAGCTACTCTAAATATTCAAAAAGTTAAGGTGTGAGAATCTCCACACTGAGTGATCGTATGAGAAACATCAGCAGTGAAATAGAAACTATGAATATGTTTTGTTATCACTATTCTATTCTCTACTTTTATGAGTTTTATGAGTGTTTATCTTTCTGTGACTGATTTATGTCACTTAACATATTGTCCTCCAGGCTCATTCATGCTGTTGCAAATGATAGAATTTCGTTCATTTTTATGGATGAAAAATAGTCTGTCAACAAAATACTCTGTAAAAATAAAAATGAAATAAAGACCCTTTTGATAAATGAAAGCCAGTAGATCTGTGCTACAAGAAATGCTAAAGAATGTTCTTCGTTCAGAAAGGCCCTCAAATACGGATTTTTAAAAATAACAAAGAGCATTGGAAATAGTTAATTTGTGGTTAAATATAAAACACATTTTTCCTCTAATTTAAAAAACAACAAGCTCTAATGCAAAAGTGTAAATTATATTGTGGGGTTTACAACCTACAAAGATGTAAAAATATATGGCAGGAACACCACAAAAGCTGAGGAAAGGAGAAGGCAGTAAATGGAATCATACTATTACAAGGTTTGTTTATTTACAAGAAACAGTATAATATTTACTCTAAGAAGATTGTGACACGGGTGAAAATTATATCTCTAGAGGTGTCACTTAAAAATACTGACAAAAGTTATAATTAAAAAGTCATATTGGTATTAAAATAGAATACTAAAAAATAGTGAATTAACCTCAAAAAAGAATGAAATAAGGACTAGAAGGACAAAAACTAAATGGAATATATAAAAGTAAATGGGAATAATAGAAATCAAATAGCAATATCAAATAGCCATATCAATAATTCCATTAGGTGTAATAGTTCTGAACAGTATAATTAAAAGGCAAGGATTATCAGAGCAGCTGCTGTAGAAGACCAACTAAATTCTGCCTACAAGAGACACCTTAAATATAAAGACACAGATAAAATGAATATAAAAAGATGGAAATTTCATTATTTTTATGGCTGAATAATATCCCATTGTGTACATGTATCATATTTTCTTTATCCATTCATCAGTTGTTGGGCACCCAGGCTGACTCCACAGCTTGCTATTATGAATAGTGCTGCAATAAACATGGATGTTTATCTTAAAATTATGTGTGTTGAAATTATGTCATTTGAAGGAGAAACTGGAGATCATCATGTTGAGCGAGATAAGTCAAGTTCAGAAAGATATACTGCATGTTTTCACTCATATGTGAAATCTAGACCTAAAATAATAATAATAACATGACATGATTGTAAGAGGATGACTGTTTGGGGGAAAACCAGAGAGAGGAGGAAGGAGAAAAGAAAGGGTAATGTAAATAGCATAATGAGACCCACTAAAAACTGTTTAAAAGGGGGAGAAGTGAGAAAGGGTTAAGAAAGAGTAATAGAAGTAGTGAATCTAACCAAAGTCCATTGTTTGAAGGTATAGAAATATCACAATGAAATCCTTTTGTGCAATTAATTTACACTAATAAAAATTTAAAAATTAAAAGTTTGAGATGATATGCCACGCAAACAATAATAATAAAAAACTAAGGAAGCTCTATTAATATTACTCAAAGTAGACATCAAAAAGGAACATATCCAAAGTAAAGAGCATTAGTCACCATGACAGAAGGGTCATTCCATCAGCAATCCATAATAATCATAAATGTATGCACCCACAATAGGCAGCAAATGCCCCCCAAAATTGTTCTAAGTTCTGGAACCTGCAAGTATGTTACATTATATGGCAAAGGGGAATTAA